GGGGGGGGGGTCCCAGCCCGCCTGAGCCCGGCTCCTGCCTCCCCTCCCCCCCTGGTGGCCCCAGCGCCTGCTAACGGGGCCTCTCTGCCCCACCCTCTCCTCCTCCCAAGGCTACGGCTACACCACCCCGCTCTCTGACGCGGGGAAGGCCTTCTGCATCTTCTACGCCCTGCTGGGGGTGCCCTTCACCATGCTGCTGCTGACGGCCACCGTGCAGCGCCTCATCGGGGCCCTGACCTCCGGCCCGCTGGAGTACCTGGCCCTGAAGTGGGGCTACCCCCGGCGGAGCCTCTCCTGCGGGCACCTCCTCCTGCTAGCCGCCCTGGTGCTGGCGGCCTTCTTCCTGGTGCCCGCCGCCATCTTCAGCAGCCTGGAGGACTCCTGGAGCTACCTGGACGCCTTCTACTTCTGCTTCATCTCCCTTTGCACCATCGGCCTGGGGGACTACGTCCCAGGGGAGCAGCCGGGGCAGCGCTACCGCCCCCTCTACAAGGTCTCCGTCACAGGTGAGAGACCATCCCTGTAACGTGCCCGGGGGGGACGGGCAGGAGGGGGGGTTTCGGCCGCAGAGGCCACACGCAGCAGGGCTGGCCCGTGGGACTGCCACGGGACAGAGGCAGATGCGGCGGTCCCCTGAGGTCCACCACCGCAGTTCTGCAGGGTTGCTGCCCCCAAGTGGAGTCTGGGGCTCTCTTGGCATTACAACCCATCTCCAGGTGGAAAAGATCCGTTTCTCTGGGGAAAGCGGCTGTTTTGGCGGGTGGTCTCTGTGGCATCAAGTCCCTGCTGCCACCCCCTCGCCAAACTCTGCTCCCCCCACCACCCCCACCCCATCCCGGGCCCCACCCCCCAATCTCCAGGAATTTCCCAACCTGGAGCTGGCAGCCCTGGACTGTCCTAAGAAACGCACTTGTTCTTGGGCAAAAACTGGGAGACTGGGTTTCGAATCCAGACTCTGCCAGGGAAGCCTGCTGGGTAACCTTGGGCGGGTCAGAGACACTCCCCCCTACCCTACCTCACAGGGGTGTTGTGAGGATAGGGGAGGAGAAGGAGGACGGAAGGCGCCTGAGGGAACGGCAGGGTCATAAAGGAAGTAAACAAACCAAGGTGGGGGCTGGAGTGCAATGCCCACGGCCGCGGCTAGAGGGCAGCAGAGGGGGGCAGAGCTCTCTTCCTGCTTCAGCTGGCCGGGTGGCTGGCAAGCAGGTGGCCAAGCCCTGGGGGGGGGCCTGCGGACAGACACAGGTCTTCTTCACGCGCCTCCTCCTTGTCTCCCCCCCCCGCCAGTGTACCTGCTGCTGGGCCTCCTGGCCATGCTGCTGCTCCTGCAGACCTTCCACAAGGCCGCCGAGCTGCACGGCCTCTCCGACCTGGTCCTGCTGCCCCAGGACCCGCCCCACGAAGAAGAGGACCACGAGCGCATCCTGGAGGGCCAGGAGCCGCCCTCGGAGCCAGCGGAGAGAGCGCCTGTCCAGCCCCCGCTCGGCGCCGGGGGGCAGCCCAACTACGCCTCCATCAGCAGATAGCCAGAGCGCCACGGCGGGGTGGAGTGGGGTGGGGGTCCCGAGCAGGCCTGGCACCTGCTGGAAGGAACCGTCTCCCCCCACCTCCACAGGGGGGGAGGCCTTTTCCCGGAAGGGCGGCTTCTGGCTCCCCTCCCCCCCCCCATTTGCAGCCTCTGTGCCTTTCCGGGGCCTCTCCTGTTGAGGTCTCTGGCCCGAACGATTCAGGTGGAGGGTCTCTGCGGGATGGCTCTCCGGGGCTGTTCGGATGTACCTGCGCCGCAGGTGTATTTTTGACCCTTGGTGGGCGAGAGCCGGCCGGGGCTCAGCCTGTCCCTGCAGGGGGAGGGGAGCCGCAGTACCTCGGCCCACAGTCTTCCTGGGCACCACCCCCGCTGGGGGCCGGCCTCAGACCCCGCCCGTCTGGCAGGAAGTCCCGCCCTTGTGGGGGAGGGGCTGATTTAACACGCACACACACCTGTTCTGGATTTTGTACGCCACCTGTTTGATTAAAAATGTGGTTTCTATTTTTTAATAAAGTCCTTACCAATCCAGACAACCTTTTCGAGAGATGAGCATCGGGGCCCAAACACAAAAACACAAAACAGGGCTGTGGGAAACCGACTCTTTGGCCTGGAATGTGGCGCAAGGTGAAGAACCGCAAAGCGTTTGTCTGGGGCTTCTGATGCGCACACTAATCACAGTGCAGAATGACTGGAAACCTTGACGGCGGGGTGGGGGGTGGGTGGGCCTGAATTTGTGAAGAGAGCAAGGAACAGAATCCCAGCCGAATCCCCCACTTCTTGGGTTTCCAGTCATTAAAGGTAAAGGTTCCTTTGCTCGAAAGCCTCTAGGGTTGCGGTGCTCATCTCCGTTTCAAAGCCGAAGAGCCAGCGCTGTCCGAAGACGTTTCCGTGGTCATGTGGCCGGCATGACTAAACACCAAGGCACACGGAACGCCATTACCTTCCCACCGAAGCGGTGCCTATTTATCTCCTTGCAATGTCTTGCTTTCGAACTGCTACGTTGGCAGGTGGGGCCAGAGACGGGAGCTCCCTCCGTCATGCGGCAACTCGGGTCTCGAACTACTGAATTACCGACCTTCCACAGCCTGCAGTTCAGCGTCTTAACCACTTGAGCCACCGCAGCTCCTTTACATTAGTAAATCAAGTTTTAAATGTAGCAGCCCCTGCAGCCTCTTAGCATGGGGGGGGGGGAAGATGAGGGGAGACAAGCTGTTTCTTGGGAATGCCCCCGCCCACTGCTGAGCTGAGTGGGAAGAGTCCCCCTCCCCACTCTTTTTGGGGGCCCTGCTAAGCTTGGGACGGCAATCACCCCCCCCCCGGGCCTCTTTCCCCACTGACGCCA